TTACTTTCTTCTCTCTCTCTCTCTACTTATATATATATATATATATATATATATATATATATATATATATATAAGAAAATGGTTTGATAGGACTACAAGTTCCTCCTAGGGACATGCCTAGGTCACACAGACATGTGCACACTCATCACAATTGGTGTATAGGAGCTATCTCTCGCACATATACATGTACACCCTCAGTGGTGTCTACTTCTCAATGCTATCATATGTATATGTCGTGTAATGGTCATGATGAGGATTTGGCCTTTGTCTTTTCAGGTCTACCAATCACACAAAAGGGTTACTAAGTCACTTAGCCGACTACCCTAAGCATCTCTTTGACCTCATCAAAAGCTAACCCTACATGCCTTTATCGGATGTGCTATATGCCCATGTCTCATGGGGTTTTAAAACTCAACTCGACCTAGCTTGTCAAGCGTAGTTTGAGTCTTGGCATCAATATTGCTAACTTTAACCCTTATGGACCATAATCCTTTGGTCTCTATGGACCGTAATCCCATTGGAGTTATCATATATAGTAATTGTTTTCAATTTTAGGGTCATGCCGCCGAGACCATATAATGTAGTTTAGAGTCGTACAACTCGGATCATCATGCAAACTAGTTTAACGTCGTATGGCCAGGACACGTGTTATATTTTAAGGTCGTATAACTTGGACCATTGTGCGAAGCAGTTTAACGTCGTGCGACCAGGACGTGTCCTATAGTTTTTAGTGGTCATGTAGCTTGGACCTTCATTTAGGGAATTAATTTCTTCAAATATCTCTCATTGATTAGAGGCATAGCTTTGTCCCCTTCAACATTGACTAGCATGTAGGCTCCGTTGGGGAAGGCCTTTTTTACTACAAATGGACCTTCCCACTTTGGCTCGAATTTTCCCTTCGTTCATCCATGGGTGATGATAGGTCTCCTTACTGCTAGGATCAGTTCTCCCTTCGTGAATGCTCTTATCCTGGTTGATTTGTCAAAGGCTCATTGCATGCTATTCTTGTGGGTCTCGGGACTCTATTGCGCTTGTAACCTTTTCATCTATCGCGTCTAGCTCTTGACAGTAAAGAGTAGCTCGTTCTTCCTCTGTCATTCCGTAATGGAGGTCTATCCTGAGGGAAGGCCATTGAATTTCTAAAG